CGGAGAATGCGTTACGACAATTTGGAAAACTTCAATGCAACGTAGCTTGATTTTTTCAAATGGATCTACCTACTTTTTTATATATATTTGTCCATAACCCTTTGAAAGAAGTTCTTCCAGCAGCTCCTGAAATTCAGGAATGTACCGAGCTAATGGTGATGAGGTGATAAATTTCGAAAAGCTGCTCAATGTCATCCACATTCACTCTACGCGTTCGCCCACTGACTGCCGATATACCAACTGCCAGTGTGATATGTCATCCTCACCATATAGGATCCGGCATAATCGACATTTAATCATGAAATCTGTGTAAATTGCGTAAGGCGCTTGTGAACCGTAATGCTAAATCGATTTCAATTCGCTGAACACCGCTGAATATGCTACGGAATGGTTTTCTAGAATACAGCCGGGGGACGAAAAGTAGAGTGCTCCGAACGTTCAACGATGCAGGGTTGAATTGAAATCCTGGAAGTATCTAAATTGTGCATGAAATGGGGATACTGTGTTTACAGGGCATGCAGAAAACTGTGGAAAGTAGAAACATTTTTTATCATACTACACTGAGAAAACGAGGTCAATTAGAGCAGTTGTTCCGGAAAATGTCCATTCTGTGATTACTCTTAGTAACTGAATTATTCGGTTGAACTAAGCGGAATTTTCTGGAACCAGTTTAAAAAGAAAATATGAATATATTGAGCTAATTTGCTTGAAAATAACAAACCATGTACCTGTTTTATTAATCTGATTAATTAGTTTAGATAATTTAGTTTGTGTAGAAAATGTGCACTTAACACAATTAAACCATTTATTAAAACATTTAAACTGTTTATTTGAATCAAGACTCGGCAGGACTCGGCCCTTCATTTGTAAACGATCGGGAGTATGCGACAGACGCAGTGCCAGTGACGCACTTCGAACTCCTCAGTCTCATTTGTGATTTTCGCGAGGAGCGTCCATATCCGAAAGTTGCTGTTGCTGGTGTATTAGCTGCGAAGTGCCTCAGTTATCGCGGTCAAGTGAAATGCTCGAACATAAGGCGCTTGGTGACCTACAACCATGCTTAGAATATTTCTCGCTCCAAATAAAACACTGTGTATAGGGGAGTCGCCGCTAACGTGATCGAATGGGAAGATCTTTGAAAGTTTATTAAATCAGCCTTATTTAGGTCAATGAATAGCATTTATACTAAACATGTGCTTAACATAGGCTTGATAAGTTTTTCTTTTATATTGTATAATGTGTGTATTGCAAGTGGAGCTTCCTGTTGGTGTAGACTTTCTAAAATTTTAAAATATCCTAGTTTGTTTTAAAGTGCTGTCGAATTCATTTATATATGTAAATACGTTGAACGCGGGTGAGTGCAATATTGTTTTATTATAAGAAATGAAATTACAAGTTTTGTACACATGATGAAGTACCTTATTCACTTTCAGGTATCAATTTCCCTAAATTCTGAATTTAAAATAGAGAATCAACTATCAAATCAAGTTCTCCATTTTTTTTGATATACAAAATTTTTCAGAGCACAATTAGGTATAATATACATCATTCAGTAAATTGCAATTTGTTTTTTTAAATTCCAAATATTATCCAATTAGATATCCTTTCCAATCTAAATGAAATAATTTATTAAAACTAGGCAAACACTTTTAGCTGAACTAGTTAAACAAATTTATTATATATAATTGAATTTTGTTACTTGGAGCAGGTAAACTCATTTTATTAGTTCATTAATCTTAAATAAACTGGTGTCATCAACGTAAGTAAACGGTTTACTAAATTTAATTTTTCGATTGCGTTTTCTTTTTATTAAACTAGTTACATAGATCACAGTAAACTATTTTAGAAATTGGAGTTTAATCAGATTAATTAAACTTGTTAGCTGTCAAATAATTAATTAATGTTTTAATTGGCCTAATTAAAATTTTAATTGGTTTAATTAATGTTTTCTTTCGGTGTAGTGGGGAAGTGTTGTGATAACATGAAATTCCAAATTCACCTCATTCATAAGTGAAGCAACATTGTCAGAAGTTAAATACGTATTTGTTGGCCTGGTTTTTCATACATGCGTGCTGATATCGAATGTCGGTTTGAATTACTTCAGCTTGTGGATATTACTTAATGGTAATAACATTTACCCGATTTGAGGTTAGGAACAGTTCGAGCTTCAAACTGACAATTCTCTTTAGACTCCTGAAAACCAGTCCTCTACGGCAGATATCACCTGTTGATCACTTAATTGATACTTCTTTCGCCGCTGGCGAGGAAGTATTGTAATCGTGAAAATACCGAAAATACTATATTTTTGCATGTTTTATGACATGTACATCACGATAAACCAAATCATACATATTCCTCCACCTGTTCAATAATCTTTGGAAAGTACCGTTCGGATTTTGATGAAATTTTCACATAAGGTTATCTACTATTATGCTAAGGATTAAAAAGTTTTCCATTTTTTGAAAATTGGTCCAGTGGTGGCAGAGCCAAGGTCAAACAACTTCTTTTTTTGACGTTTCAGAGGCTCCTGATCATTTTCAGAAAAATATTTCTGGGTTTGGGGTTTGTTGGGGGTGAGGGACGGTATATCTCAATTTGGCAGTATATTTAAGCGCTTCCAGCCCCGGTATTTTCGACGCACCGTTAGTATTGTATTGCATACATGCTAGATGTCTCCGCATACTTGCACTTGAAGCTTACAATGATGGAGAAGTATCTTCAACATGCGTCTCTCTCTGGGTTGAATGGTCGCCCCATGAGTGTCATTCCAATACTGCCACGCTACCGAGTCTGACAAGTGGATTCATCGAGCGGTGACGAATGGGGGATGGGCGACGTTCTCAGATGGGCGGTACGATCGGTATGGGATATCGGACAGGGAAAATATGTCAATGCACTGATTGTATTGGTCTGTCTGACTGACTTGGTCCATTTTATTTCTGTTTGTTATCTTCATAACTAACTAAATCATCAAAGGCTCTAACTTGTACCGAACATCATCCTTTGTGAAATGGTGACAGCGTTGCCAGTCTACTTGATGCAATTTTTTTTCAATTAATTAGATTCTCTATCAATTTTGGAAATAGTATGAAATCACTGGAGGCCAGATCTGGATAAATTAAATTACCAATTTAAATCTTGGTTGCCGTTGGGCAGGCAAGAAATGCAGCATGTTAGGCTGAGAGTACTATCTTGTTAACTTTCTCCAACGTTTCTCTTTATAAACAGCTCACAATTTTGCTACACCGTCCACTTGTTCCACCTATTCGTATTTTTTTAATAGTCTGGTCATTAGCATTACAGGTGGCCTACACTGCCGCATTGGTTTTCACTAGTGGTAGCAGATAGATATTTCAAGAGCTGTGATTTAGTAAGGAATCACTAATCTCCACTGTTATCAAATACCGTGAAAAAGCGTGACATGGTCACGACGATCGAGACCTAGGTGCTTCACGAAAACAGTGAAAGGCATCATCGTATGAATGTGCACGAGATGCGCATGCGCGCCAATCGTTAAGGTCGAGACAAAGAGTAGTTATATAAAGAGAAGACAAGGGAAATGACTCCAAAGGCATGGCGTCCTCAAAACAACTGATGGCATCTAAATACTGTTCCCATTTAGTCGGAAATAAATGTGTTGTTGCCAGATAGATAATCATTTTCGGATGAAATCATTAACTTGTAGTGAACGCATGTTTTGTTCAAATTTTGATTTTACATTTATTCATGGTGGAGATATTTATCATCCACTTGAAACCTACAAAATATATTTCCAATTCAACAAAGCGCAAGAAGCTGTTCTCAAAACCTGTAAGTTATCTTATAGTCGTTTAACTTTTAGGGCGCTACGCGGAATACTACACGACTTCGTTTAGTAGTAAAAGAAGTATGTCACCTGGAAATTGCTCTTTCGACCAGTCGTCGGTCTATTTGACATGGTCGCGATTTATCTAGGCATCCTGGCCTTACCACTATAGAGATATTTATTTATCTCGTGTGACTTCTTGACATAACACCCAAAGACTGTACAAAGAGCTGAACTCCTCTCTGCTTAGTATAAATGTAGCGTTTTATAAATATTTTATGGCAGCTTGGCAACACCGCCTCGGTAGACGGTCCGCACTTAGATCGCTGTTTTTATTTGTAAACCAGTAACAGTTAAGGAGCCTACCGCAAAGTTTTGGTAACATCGTTTACTGCTTTGGAATTTTAAAAACTTATCAAATCTTACGTATTTTGATGCTAAAAAGCGAAGTTGGCGAGTTTGTGTGGTTAGTTTTTATCGTATTCTATCGGTACGCGATGATGTAATAATTAATTTACGATCCGCTTACCTACTACAATGCCGATGACTCTTATGGTCAATGGGGCCGACAGGCGAATTTAAGGGCATTCCACCAAATATCTTAATATTGGTTGAAAATCGTATATTACGGTAAGATTGCTATAGCCTGTAAGTGACATAGTGCCTTGCAGGCTTTGGTAGTCGGCTCCATGCGATTTTATCGTGGCTTTTTGCTCAGGACATCAGTATACCGACAATCTCGTCGTTGTGTGAAAGTGGTGATCACTTCACGGTTTTAAATCACTGATACAAAAAAGTGACCATATCCCATATGACATATATTTAAAAATAACGACAGCGGTCATCTCTAGTTTTCAAACCCTTGTACGCTACCAAAATCTCCATATCACAAGGAACTACACATCCTCGAACAGACCGCACAATTCAGTGGGGACCATAAACTTTTTCGCGAACATTTTTCCGCAACTTTTGCCACGATCCATTTCTACTAAAATTTTTGTTATAATTAAGCCAAACAATACATTACGTCAAAATACTTTGACCTAGAGCCCTAATGTTTCGATTAAATAGCTTGCTGAGATTACTTTTTTTACTTCAAACCTGATTATGCCTTTGAGTGCTCCTTGGTGGAAGGATTCCAAAGAAAGTCCCTATCTTAGAAGTGACATGCTTTCATGGTTTTTATTTCACTTTCAGGTGTCGTTAATACTATTCTGTCTCTACCTATGTTCAAAGTACTGGGGCGATTAGCATACAGTGTTTTGCTGATACACTTCGGCTTTCAGACTGCAATGCTGGCAGCTGGAAAAAACCCTACCTATTTTTCGAACTTCATGTGTGTAAGTATTGAGATAATCTTTTCAACCATCAACACATTCTAAAAGATGTCCGACTCAGTTAAAAGTCGTAGGTGACCTGAAGTAGTAGGACGTTCCAGGTCATCCTTGGAACCAATTTTTGTTTCAAGTAAATCGTTTCCGGGGAGGTTGTCGCTGAAAGTTTCAGAAACTAAAGGAGTGATAAGTATGTAAAAATTTTGTAGGTTGCTAATCCATCGTCTTCAATTTAACCAATAAATTTCCTTTGCTTAAAAGTAAGCCCTATTTCACGAGTATCAATCAAGTCTTGACGTCTACTGAGGTGAACAGCTGATATCAGCAAGTGATATCTTTTTGTTAGTCTGCATGGTTGACAATAATGGATCGAGTGTAAATCTACTAAAACTTGTTTGTAGCGTTTTCTCTGCAAGCAAATGAACTTTTCTAAATAAAAGAGTTATTAGCAAGTACAAAATGAATCTGTAGCGAGCAAAAGATCAAAACATGGCGATTGCGGATCCGTCAGAATTATGTCATCTGTCGATATGGGGAATTTTGAAATATCACTAGATAATGGATACTCGTGAAACAGATACATAGTCACAAAACGTAAAATACATTTGAAAATGGAAAAACTACATTGTTATTCAATTTTCAATTCAATTTTTGACTTCATGTTATGAGATATGTGATGTCCTCTATTGGGCAATTGAAAAGATTGATTGAAGAGACTAAAGCATAATAACTTATACGTTATTCCATATAATAGGCAAATGATTACATGTAGGCACTTAAGTCTGCGAAAACAAAAAGTTCGCCAACTTTGGCCTAACAGACAAGGTAAAAATTGACTTTAATATAAAATAATCTTAAAATGCTATCCGGGATTTTCTAAAGCAAGGCTTAAGCTTTAATTTAAATTTTTGGGACCCCAAAAAATATGATTTTCAAACGAGCTTTTAAGCATGGAGTACGAGCCTTTTCCCACTTCAGTTGGCCCAACTGTTGAAATCTTAGTTTTTTCTTATAAAACACAAATAATAAAAATGTAGCAGGGTGTTATAGGTTTGAAATATTAACAATGAATATTTTGATAATATATAGTCGAAAACACCAACTTTATCACTCCCTAATCAAATTTGCAGCATAAAAATAACACATGTTGCAATTACAGCATATCAACCTATTTTCATTTCAATGCAAAATAAGTCTATAAAGCATAGGTGGCTGTGAAAAATAAAAGCCATGAAAATTGTTTTTATTAATCACAGTTGTCAGAATACGTTTAAAATAGTTTTGGGTAGTTAAGGTTTTCAAAATGGGTAGAGGAAAGGTTTCGATTACTGATAATTAAATTTGTTAATTCTGGGAAATCAAACTCAGAAATTGCAGTCCAGATTTGTCACCTATTGAAACTTTGTGGCACGAGATGAAAAAGGTTCTACGACACCATCCTGCTCGTACAATCACCGATCTGAGACAAAAGCTTCAAGAAATATGGGATTGTTTTATACCAAATTTTTGCCAAAACTTGGTTAACACTATTCCCCAAAGAATTCAGCCGTAATAAAAAATAAAGGTGACGTTACCCAATGGTAATCTTTCAATTTTTGCTTTGTTAACTTCGCGCATCGTTTTTGAGAAATAAATTCTTTTAGAAGTGAATAGTTTCGTCATGTTTAGTTTATAAAGGCATATTTTGGTACAAATCTTGAAGTGGGCCAGCTGAAGTGGGTAGTGGCTCGTATATCAATTTTTAGGGCTTTTCAAACATTAAATCACTTATAACTCGAAAACGGTCAGCTTTAGAGAAAAGTTAATGGCATCCTTGTTTGTTCAGAAGGATCCAAGGAGCTTGAAAAAAAATGTCTGGCCAAAAAATGGATTTATTAAAAAAATATTAAATTAAGTTTGATCTGGGCTACCGTGTATGGGTTTGTTCAATGCTTAAAATCTCGATTAAGAATTATGATTTTTTAGTTCGCCAAGTATCTAAATGAAAGTTAAAACCTTGCTTTACAAGACCTGGAAGAGTATTTTGGAGTCGCGTTTTTTGACATTTTGTTTTTCCCATATCAAATAAAACACACTGTTAGGGCAATATTAACAAAACCAAGACTGTGTAGTGCGTTGAAACCGAGTAATTAAGCTTCTAGATATCTGCAAGCTAAAAAATAAAATTCTAATCAACTATGGCACATTGCTATAACAAATAAAAGCATTTAATGAAGGTAAGGTTATGCAATAACAATCAATGTAGATCAAAAGATCGTTAATCACGCAAACGTGGGCTCACCTTGGATTAAAATGAAGTTGCAAACTGTTTCAGAACTGTATTTTGCTACAAAATCTCATTGGCAAATCATACTTTCATAGCATTGAAAAAAGACGGAATTATAAAAATATCTATTTTATTTTTGGACAATAAAAGCTATTGAGTCTTTACAGTCTACCTTTTAACGATGTCCTTAATGACGATGAACCATAATTACATCATAAGGCATAAAACAAAATATTGATGTAAGCCAGATTGTCAGATTACCTGATTGTTACATAAACATAACCATTATGTAAAATACAATAGAATTTTAACCGATCGATATTGTGACTGTAGTCTGGCAGCGATGAGCGAACAAAGCCCAAAAGTGCGTCGCCAAGGGCGGCCCCGGAACTAACTGATTGGAACGTTCCAGGAACGACCCCAATAGAACTTTCCAAAGATGCCCGATTCAGGGATGGGACGAAATCAAGTGTGCTGTGAGGAAAGAATACGTACCAAGCCGCCGCCAACCACTTATGCTTACAAATATGTACCTATCAATCACCGCCTTTCGGTGCCAGCGTTGCCACCCCTCAGATTGTTGCCGCATGTTATAGGAACTTTCCATAGTTAAGAAATTCTAAGAATACCAAATCCAAGGAATAATTATGAATTAGTCATAGGGACACTTGAGCCCGGGACAATTGCGTATCGTGAGGGAAAAGCGGTATCCTTTGATGTGTGCTGATGGTCCCGCTGGTAGTGCTGCTGATGTTGATGCTACCACTGCTGATGGAAGTGGTGATGCCAAATCACCAGCATTGGTACCAAAATATGTTAAGGTCGCAAGGTGAGAAAATTGTATCAACTTTAACAGTCGTACCAGCAGCACATCAAAGATACCGCCTCCCACGGCCCACAAAGCTCTCCCAGGCTCATGCTTCTAAAACTACTTATTAATTCCAAGAGAATTACTCCGAGTCTACTTGGCAACATGGCTGTGACAATGGAAATTGTATATGGGCGTCCAAATACAACATAAGGTTGGGTATGTATTCCAAGGATACCTTAATCAATCATTCAGCTTAGACATGTGGTTTTGATTAACGTATTCTATCTGAATACTATATTCGCCGGCCGAGATGAAATGAGATACCATAGCGTCATCTATGAGAAATTGCCACAGCTATACTTGTCCTCTCCACAATAATTAGAAATCTACTTTGAAGAGGATAGTACCTGGAATATCGCGCTATAGCTATATGCTCATACGGGTGTCATGGAAGTTGAGACTTTCCTTTCCAAAAACTACTACGCTTGAAATAACAAGGCTAGTGTGTGTTAAAACCGTAGCAAAAAATTTAAATAAATAAATAAATGAAAAAGTACTCACCGTTCATTTGCAAAGAAATTTCAAGTACGGCTCTGTCTCTTATAAGTACTGTTCGAATTTTACGCCGTTGGTAAAAAGTATTGTAAACCGTCCAGTCGTTTTGGTTAAAAAAAGATCTAATAACTATGCCATTTACCATGCAAGCCCAAACGTTTAAAGATGTTTGTTGAAAATGTAACTGACGGACAGAGGATTTTCCAATAACCACACATCGAAAGTTATTCACACATCGTTACACGTGAAGGTTGATCCGTCCGTGAATAATATGAAGTTCAGCTTCAAACCCGGATTATTTCCATATTGCTGCAACAACCTCAAAACGTACTCTTGCAAGAAAATCCTCAGCTTGCACAAAAGAGTACAATTCATCATCCAGCAGCATTTGCCAGACTTGGAGACTTGCACTTCCATAGTTCTTGTTGACGGTTGAATAGCCCTTCCCCAGTTTGCACTACTTGGGGTCGTCTAGGTCTCCAACTGTGCCCAACTTGATATTCCTGCAAGCTACCTGCATCCCTAGCACTCTACAAGGTAAACAGATCTATGCGGCCCCGAATGATAATGTCCCGGAAAGCGATCTGCATACACTCGCGAAGCCGCGGTAGCATTTTGAAATTTTGAAGACATTAACCATAGATTAAAATCATGTCGAAAAGTTCGATGTGCCATTTTTTTAACCGATTGGTAAACAGATGTTTTGTTTACCTACTCTGTCGGCGCCTGGGTTTTGATTCGATCGAGATACAGAAGCGAATCAACTTTGGTTTAGGTTTGATTGATTTTGTGAAACCTCATATCTGGTATACATGTTTCTAGGAAAACCGCTTAGTTTTTCAAGATCTATACGTAATGATTATCAAGAATCTTTTACAGATCTGCTAAAAGACATGATGAATTGACCACGTTGGTAAAAACTGAAAACTTTGTCAACGCTAAGCTGTCACTTTGGTAAAACGAGCCCTCATTCGACCTGAAATTTTTTGTCGTCCTTTCCTCTCAGTAATGCAGAAGTGCGGTGAAGGGTGGCTTTCGGTTAAGTAATGGATTTTATGTCCCCTTATACCCAATTAAATTTTGAAGACTTGACAAAAGCCTTTCAGATTATTTTAAATTCCTTATATAGCACATCGTGTTTTCTGTCTGAAACGTTTATTGCGAATAAAATGCTGAGGGTAACATATGTGGCTTCATTAGGCGGCCATCGAATGATGGTGACTTTTCAGTTGCAAGCCACAAGATAAGTTTCAGATGATACATTACATTATTTTTATTGAGAAGCAGCATTTCAGTCCATGGATGGTTATGCTTCATTAGTCCGACATCACGAATATCATACGTCAAACTACAGAATCATTTGCCCGCGTATATTTAGACGAGATAATTTTACGACCAGCCATGGAGCCTGGACTATAAGAAAGATTCCAGACATTAAGGTCTGGATTGTCAAGGGATCAATGCAGTGCATACATCCAGCTCCTCACTGAGTAGATGGATTGACTGCCAGCGACAACCAGAACTGACTCTGGGCGAGAGGCTCACTGCTCACAATTTTGACAGGCAAAGAAAATGGGTTGAAATGCAACCACTGGTGAAAGGAATAATTCTGAGTAACGTGTGTGATGAAAAAAGCAGTTATGAACGCCAATAATAGGTTTCCTTGCCTGCTGGGTATTTACATACATACAAGCGTATGTACGAAGGGAGATACCAGGTTGAGAATATACCGATGGTATAAATTTTAGCGCTACGCAACCCACCATGACGAAATGCCGTAATGCGCTTCTGAGGTGGGATGTACTGCGAACGACTGACGAGCTTTGGTGAGCATGACATTTTTGGAGAGTCTCACACGTCGGGTAGGAAACGCTGATAGAAAGAATCTATCGAGCTTTCCTATCTGAGATTGGCTGTAAAAACCATAAAAGTATTTTTAAGTATTTGTGAAATGAGTTATAACCATTGTCATTCTTAAGTGAAAGTATATTCTTATATGAAGTGTTTTATGATATACCGGGTGTTAGAAATTCGACTGTCATAGCTGGGATCTCACAAACGGTAAGAGATATTTTTTCCTGGCTTCATTTGAGATAAATAAAAAGCACATTCACATTGCCACTTTTTCTCCTCTCTTTAAGATAGCATAAATTGAATTTAAATACCCTCGATCATCAAAGAAAACTGAAGCCCTAGTAACTGAATCGGCACGGGTATTACGTATCTTGAAAAGTGACATATCAATTTTTTTGATATTATACTGGTTTTTTGACATTATGTAGGTTTTTCTATAAGATGTTAACATAGCACTTAGTTCTACGTGTTGCGTAAACGTCATGAGGCTTCAGTTATCAATGATTGGCTCTGATGTGATGTAAAATCTGCTTCAGTGATGGCATTACTGTAGATCTAAGCTGTAAGTTGTATGTGTTGACGATAATTCCATTGGATTCTTCTCCCAAATTCACATTGAGATTCAAAGCTAGAAATTAGTTGCGCAAAAATGAGAGAGATAAGAAATAATTATATTCACTGTATACTGTCGAATTACAAGCCATATACATGCTAACAGTAATTACACACGACGTAGGCGCGGTGGTGTTTGCTCGTAATTCTCCTCAATGTTTTTTGTAATTTATAACTTTGAACATAACCTCTTTTCAGAAAGCATACTCGTCCGACACAGCTAATAGGTATACTTCATTGGCAGCATATTCAGTAATGATTTTCTCACACAGCAAACATCACTGATTTTATAAACATGCAGACCAATACACATAATCATCCAGATACGATCTTGCTACTCAACCAACTTTCTTCTCAGTGACGAAAACTACATGCCACTGGGCTTCACAAAACATATGCAACCAACAATGTGTGTAGTTTAGTTGAGTCATTCCTCCATAGATGGACGCTCACAACGATCCTAGTGAGCAAACGTGGAATGACTGTTGGCACCCTAAAAACTACCTAGTCTGCAAGATAACATTTTATAGGTTTTTTACATGATATCCATGCCGATAAGCATGTGATAAACTGTCATTTTTAAGGCCAACTATGAAAATACTAACTTTTTTGCCAAAATCCAATTGGCATTGACAAAAATATATTCAAATTCTACTTATGCCATCTTGTTAAGGAGAAAATAGGCAATGTTAATGTGCTCTTTTTGTTTTGAAATCAAATATTAAAGAAAGTCAGGAACAAATAAAAGCGATTTTGGGAAAATTCAGGCTTATTCCGTCTCTCTCGGAAAATGCTCGGAATTACAGAACTGTCGCAGTGCCATGCCCAAATGCTCAACTTTGGTCCCAGCTAAGCGACTTCGTTTTCGAAATCCCAATGGTGAGAGTCGAATTTGAAACATCCGGCATAAAGCCATTATTGGTCTAGTAGTATTAGTACAAGCGTGGAGTTATATGGAATGTACTACACATTTTTCACCTGAGAAATCGCCATTATTTGGTGCATTCCTGTAAGGAGTAGCTACATCAATCTCCTATCATGCATGATGCGATCCCAATGCTTCGGTCAGATTTTGATATTATACTTGAATCAAGCTTTTGTTTCAGATTTTCAATGCTCTATCTGATATAGCCATTACCACGGCAGTAGCAATACCCTTCACGTTATTCTTCGAGTATCCTGCAATAGGATTAGTGACGACTCTTCTGCAAAACAGTAAGTTTACATTTTCAATCTAATAAGTTGCTGGCACATGTGATTTTTTTTTTTTTATATCGAAACAGCCGCGCAGGCAGAAGCCTAAATGCCGGAACACCGCGGCTGCTATGATGATCCCAAAGAAATTTTGTTAATACGATTTTTGAACTGCCTAAGGTTGGTAGAACTGGGAAAAGCTTCCGCCCGTAGATTGTTCCACAATCTAGACACCCTCGGCACAAAGGAGCGGTCGTATCGGCCGTTTCTGGATGTACGAAGTTTGACACGGTTAGGATGGGACGCCGAAGTCAGGCGGGTCTGTCTGGCAGACACATCGCGCGGCGGCAGCATGGAAGAGAGCTCTGAGGAGCAAAGCCCGTTGGTGTAGCGATAGAAAAGAGCTAGATCGCCGACGACCCGCCGGTGCGAAAGAGTCCCGAGACTGTCTGTTAGAGAAGAGTCATCGATCAGTCGGACCGCCCTCCTCTGGACAGCATCGAGCATGGACAATGTAGTCGGGGCGGCAGCACCCCAAATGTGTGAGCAATACTCGAGGCTAGGCCTTATCTGGGCCTTGTATAGAGTGAGAAGGTCATGCGGAGAAAAGTACTTCTTAGCCCTAAACAAATAGCCTAGCTTTTTCCCAGCAGCTGCAGCTATTGAAGAGATGTGTTCGTGCCAGATCAGGTCCTCGGTGATCTGGACTCCGACCAGCCGAAATGAATGGCTCTTTGGTAGAACTCGACCGTCCATCGAAACTGTATGAGCGCTAGGACGCTTTTTGTTCGTCAAAGTACAGTACTGTGTTTTGGAAGCATTGAACTGTACAAGATTGTTGCGTCCCCAAGCAGTGATAGCCTCCAGGTCTCTTGTCAGAGAAGAAGTCGTCGCTAGTCTTCTTTTTTCCAGCTCAGCGGCAGAGATCGGCTTGTCACTCTGAATTCCTGCATGTAGAGTGCTGTCATCAGCGAAGCTGTGGATTGGGTTGATCGTGCAGGAAAGGAGGTCGTTGATATGTAAGAGAAACAGCGTTGGAGCCAAAACCGATCCCTGGGGAACACCCGCGTTGACGTTGTGGGATGAAGAGGAGAATCCGTCAATTACGATGGATATCTTGCGGCCAGAGATAAAGTCAGCCACCCATCTGCAAAGCTTTTCTGGGAGGCCGTAGGATGGAAGTTTGCTTAAGAGGGCAGCGTGCCACAGCTGATCGAATGCTTTCGAGATGTCAAGAGCAACGACATGAGCCTCACCATGGGACTGGATGAGTGTACTCCACAGTTGCGTGACGTAAGCTAGGAGGTCCCCTGTGGATCGTTGGTGCCGGAAACCGTACTGCCTGTCACTAATCAAGCTGTGACGTTCGAGGTAGACCAGAAGCTCGCGATTTATGCACCTCTCCATCACTTTACTTATAACAGAAAGCAGAGCTATAGGCCTGTAGTTATACGGGTCGGTCTTAGATCCTTTTTTTGGGATGGGCTGTACATGAGCAAATTTCCAGTTTTCTGGGAAGGTGCCGGATTCATAAGATATCTGGAAGAGACGCGAAAGAACTGGAGCAAGCTCCGCTGCACATCTCTTCAGTACAATGGCAGGAATCAAGTCCGGACCAGAAGCTTTGTTGATGTCGAGCGACAAGAGCACTCGTCTTACGGTCTTATGCCTGAACGTTACCTCCCGCATAGCGTGGGGAACCCTTTGAATTGGGGGAATTGGGCGTTGGTGAGGACGTCCATGGTGGAGTTGGCAGCAAAGATCTTGGCTAGCACTTCCGCCTTGGCCTTTGAGTCGAATAGAATAGTTCCATCCTGACACGTAAGTGGTGGACGGCTACTGTGTGAGAAGTTCTTTTCAATCTGCTTGGCCAGCGTCCAGAAAGACCGACTGCTATTGCGCTGCGACATTACCCTGTGCCTTACTTTTATATCATGCTGGTTTTTGGCATTGCGAACCGCTTGGTTATATTTATTTCTGGACTCGACGTCGGCTTGTCTGTTCTCTACAGTGGGGTTTTGTAAGTAGGTTCTGTGGGCCTTGATCTTCTGCTGGCGAGCAGTGTCACACGATTTGTTGAACCAGCCGTTGGACCCTGGTTTAGGAACTTTCACTGTGTGAGCGATGTATTCCTCCATTCCGACGTGGATAATTTCGGTTATTGAAGAACAGACTGTCGACGCATCCGCGTCAGTGAAACAGACATCTCTCCAAGGAAAGCTAGAGAAGAAGTCTCTGAGCCCCTCCCAGTCGGCATGTCCGTAATGCCAAGTCTTGCGGCCTGTGCGAGTTTCTGCTGCCACAGCGGCTTCTGACCGAAACCTAACCTCCACAACACCGTGATCTGAGTTACCCAGGGGGGACAGGACAGCAGTGCTGTAAGGGGCAGGATGCGTGGTCAGAAAGAGATCCAGCAGGCTACTGGCGTGTGACGAGACGCGGGGAAAAAAAGTAGGGCTCGTCACCAGCTGGGTCAGCCCTTGAGTAAGAGCGAACGCTTCGACTGCACGACCTGCTGCATCGGTCTTATTTGAGCCCAACCAAAGCTCATTATGGGCATTGAAATCAACGAGAAGAACTACCTCTGAAGCGGGGTGATTGATGTTCAGGAAGTCGATCTGGACGGCGAGGTATTCGAGTAGGTCATCCCAGTTATGGTTCGAGGGAGAGCGATAAAGGCAGCAAATAAATTTGGGTGATGTTTTGGAGTTGAGGCGAAGCCACAGAATGTCCTTCCGGTCTAATTCCAAAGAAAGATCCCTGGAGCAGGAAAGACTGCTGCGGACAAAAGCCACAACTCCCCCGTTCTTTCTCAGATTTGAGTGCACCTCGTAGTTTGGGAACTTGAGATGGTTAATCGGTGCAGTCTCTGAGATTTTTGTCTCCGCCAAGAAAAGCACGGCGCGACGATTGGATTGCAGGTAGTGATGAACAGCATCAATGTTGCTGTTGATCCCGCAGATGTTCGAAAAACAAATTTTATCTTCGATGTTGTTCCCTCGAGCCCACCCTCCACCCGGACATTCCGAGAGTGGAGTGAGTTTACGTCCGGAGTTCTTAGTGCTCGAGGGATCCATCATCATTAATTTCTTTGTTTTGGTAGATAACCGACTGCATAGCTTAGGTGTGGAAACATGCGGACATTTATAAGACACCCTGGGAAAAGCTAGCGGGTGGTACTGCCTCGGTCGACTGGTCCTCGTCTACCACCTTCTTTTTACATGTTAGTGATGTTAAATAGACCTAAAGTGGCCCGTTGGCGGACTTGTACCGCCACCCGGCAATCGGTACTGAGGTATTCCTTAACGCGTGCACAATCACTTGGACGGGAAGAAGTTGTATACTGGATACAACAACTTCCGGAACAAGCATTTGCCACGGCCCTCGCTCAGTAGGGCGTATTGATAGGAGGACTGATAGGAGGATAGTGATAGGAGCATGTTGCGTAAATTTGCCTGCAATAGAATCGTACCTAGAAGAAATAAGCGTTTTTAAATTATTTCTTGAAAGTACCCTATTGCAAGTAAACAAGTTATTCTTAACATCATGAAAGCTATAAAGTAAAAAATAAGGAAAAAAGTTTCTTTTTATACTTGAGATTGACTTGTTTTCGAGTCAAGTCAAGCATCTTGAAGATCAAGTCAAGACGTGAATCCCTACTCTGTATGTTACGCAAATAGGATAGATGTAACATACTTAGATATACTACAAAATATATCGTACCTATATTTTTATGAACTATCTAGAATTTGATATGGTCATTATACAGGGTGGCCGATATGTACGGTTTGTATCTTAAATATTTGTGAAATAAAATAAAATACGTCCATTTTTTTCATCTTAATCTTTCTTTGAAACTTAGTAACTACTATAGGTATGAAAGATAATATCAGAGAAGTGTCCGCCTCTAGAAGCCATGCAAACCTGAGCCCTCTTGATTACATTTTCCATTACTTTTTGGTAGGTTTCGGGAGGAATATTTTCAAACGCTTCCGTAATATTGTTTTTCAGCTCTACAGTATTTGGTTTGTCGGCATAAACCTATTCTATCAAAAATCCCCATCACCAAATCGAGAAACGTCCCGGAAATATTGTTCGCAAAAGATTCATTGTTTCCCTAGCTGTGTGACAAGGTGCTCCGTCCTGCTGGAACCACATGCTTTGTAGGATAGATCGTGGGAACTCTCTCGATATTTTCCGGAGTACGAACAGTTCGATCACGGCCCAACCATGGCAAGTCTTTAACTTCACCTGTTTGCTCAAATTTCTGCACCAACTGACTAATGTTGTGGATACTTGGCACATTATTTCGACCCAAATCTAGTCGTAGATTCCGTATCGTTTCAACAATCGACTCATTAAGTAAAACGTTTTAACAATACGGATGCGTTGTGGGATCGTGTAGCGCTCCATGATAAATTGAACACATGTGCTTTAAGCAACTACTACGGTGCCAAAAATAGCGCGCAACTTTAATCAGTTATATATTGGCCGTCCTGTATATGACCAGGCCCATTATTTTATATAATTCTCGAATAAATTGCCGAATACTAACTAGCAATGCCAAGGCACCCCTCAAATTGATGCACTTCTTTTTTCTTTGCTCTCCCTCCTTCCTTCCTTTCTTCTTCCCGTCTTTCTCCCTGACTTTGTTTGGTATCTGGGCAATCAGACCTGACAGACCTACTGACTCACAAGACTTCAACCAAGAGCAAAGGTCCTACGGACCGCTCTGACAGACAATGACGAATAGTAAGCCCATTGTGTTGACCACGTTTTGACGTCTACTGAGGTGAACAGCTAATCACTCATCAAGGAGTGACATCTTTGTATCTGTACTTTTGGCAATAATGACACAGGTGAAACTCAGGTAAAACTGAGGTTCGTGTTCAGAAAGTAGAGATGCGTGACATAGTAAAAAACTTTATTCTTTTATTCTTGCCTGACTTATGGTAGTGATCAAAAATAGGCATATTGCTTGTATCTTTTTTTTGTATGAAGAAACTTTTCTGAATCCCGCCTGTATCTTTACATCATCTCCATGACATAATAGATAATATTGTATTGTCACATTACCGATATTGATATCCGAATCGGTCGATCTCTATTTTTAACATGTTGACTGCCATGAAAAATCGTGGTAAATGTCTCTGGTGCCAACTTCAAAAAGGAGAAGATACACTTTCGCTTGTAAGCTACACCGAAAACCGCTAACTTAAGCTAGGCATGTATGCCACAGCGGTCTTCTGCCATAATAATTATATGCCTATCAACGACCGCTGGCACAGCACAAAATGAATTTTGAAGAAGTGTGGAGCGGTCGCGATGGCATTCAACCTGATAACGGGGCTCCTACAATCACAAGCACCATCTGCTGAGGTAACGGGGGGGTTAAAAGGAAACGAGGGTGGGCTGGCTCTAGACGGTCGTCGGCGCTACTTTAAAAGAGGAAAGGATGACTGCGGGTGCATACCAAGGTACATTTTTATAATAACAGAGCCGGATTTCGATTAGCGATCTAGTCTGTAAATCCTTTCCTATTTTGGTACTCAGCAAGTGATCATTTAGTATTTTTCTCCCCTTGTTACTGTTCGTCGATATTGTGTTGTTGAATTTTTGTGCTGTACTCTTGTTGGTGTGATTGTTCTTGTACCTTTTTTGTCAAGGTTGATAATGGACAATAAAAGCTCATTTTAGACCATTTTAATTACGAATGAAGTGAGTTTAATTCATAATGAGGTCAACAATGGTGTGGAGCAGTTCAACTCTATAATCGCAAAATACATTGGGGAGTAGGCGAATACATTATTGCAAGAAAAGGTCATACCATGGAAGATGTGCTGCAGCTGTAGTGAGCCACAATACCCAGCGGCCTGTCTATGTGGCCCAAATACATTTACGTTCTAAGCTTAGTCCAACCTCGCTTATCGCTAAGGTGGAACAAAGACTCAAACGCAAGAATCTTGAAAAGAAACTCAGGCTAAAAAAAGCTGATATAAAAATAACTAACAATTCGGATAGCAATTCCAAAGAAAATGAATAGTTTTATATCGAATTTTGTCAAAAACCTGACATGAACAACATTGATTTGGAGGTTGCTAATCAAGAATTTTTAGGGGAACTTAAAATAGTGACGACGAGATTTTGAAGATCGAACAAGTCACCAAAATCACAGGACTGTACTTTGTGGCGCCTTCATCGGAGGATAAGGTTGACAGCGTCTCGATGTGGTGAAGTTTGTAGAAGAAGGCAGACAACAAGCTGTAATGTTATAGTAAACTCCATCATATACCCAACAGAGTTTTCTAGTAAGGAAATAAAAAAGGCATTACAAAAATCATTGGACACCGCAGTTCAATATTGTGGTCTGTTTATTGATCGCACACATCCATTTCTCGCAGCATCGCCTCCATCTACCTATTACAGTAGACAAGAAATGTAGGTACTTAATCTAGGTATAAGCCTACCTGTTTATTGCTTTGCAAAAACTACCTAACTGTTTCCTCTTATTTTGACGGCACAAGATATTTTTATGACCCTCGTCCAATTGTTGCCATGTACCACATGACCCTTGTAGACATAATTGTGGTTATTGACATGAATAAACGAATTTGAATTTGAGTTCTTGAATTTATTTTAATAAAGATATCAAATTATTTGAATACATGTTTTCTTAGTCCGAACGCACCGTCGCGCCGCTTGGACTGGCAGGACGAAACAGTAAACGAATTTCGCCCAAAAACCGATTTGTACTTCACAGCTTACGTTTCATTTTTTACTATTTCCAAATGAAACTCTTGCAGCATGCTAAAAACAAAGTCCATAGGGTGCTAACGATTTACTTTTTAGATTTTATCCACTAGGATCTTGTTAAAATATCAAGAAGTTGAGCACAAATAGTAAGCATTTCAACCCACCATAATTCTTGCACAAAGACACAATTTTGTAAAAAGCTCTGATATCACCTTAGGCAATTATGTCCCGCTTATATCCAAAAAAACATTACAAACTGCAGAACAAAAATTGAAGGTAACGGCGAAATGGGTACATTTCACGGGTCATGAAATTCAAATGAAAATACAAGTATAAAATCTACCAAATTATCGTTCTCAAAAACATATTTCCTTGACATATCGATAATTTTAAAGTTCCACGCTAAATTCCCCTATACTTGACTGGAACGATATCCGAATTCATTCTTCCCTACTCTCGGCAGTTGCAGATAGATCTGTTGGCTCTTGGTGTGAAACCTATAGAGCAGGTACCGATTTTTTCAAATCGTGAGCCCATTATTCGTAGGATTTTCGGTACTTAAACTTTCTGTAATCACTGGACTAGAAGCTTCTTAATAATAGATCGTGTTTCACTGATATCAAAGATGCAACATTTAGAATCACCTTCCCCCAACCCCCACTTTTTAAGCAGTACATTTTTCTTATGTCAATGATAAGGAACCCCTGTAACGTGAAAAACGGAGTTTCAGCAATTGTTACTTTTTCTTTTTTGCCTATAGCACCCGTGCCATTTGACTAAAACTACAAAGCTTTGGCATACTAGTAACCCCGTGTGGAAATTTCATTAAAATCTGAGCGGTAACTTCCAAGTTGATGATGAGTGATATAGTTTTTCGTGATGTAGATGTAGATGACTTAAAAAAAATAACATCTCATTTTAGAAATTTTTCGCGATTACAATACTTCCTCGCCACTGGCGTGGGAAGTAAAACGGTTTAAAACTCGATGAGTATCAGCGATCGCGATTATGAGTACATATTTGCAGAACGACTTATCTATGCGATATTATATGAAATAGGGCCACCAAATTATCTGAATACGTCCTTTCTTAGTCCGTACATTGCGCCGCAACGCTTGGGTTGGCAGCACTAAACAGTAGACAAAATTCGTCCAAAATACGATTTGTAGAGGTTTGCGCGCTTCGAAATTGACGCTTTATTATTTGATATTTTAGAATGAAATTTTCATAGTGTGCTGAAAACAAAACCCCACAGGGTGCTATAGAGCCACTTTTTCATTTTTCTCACTAGATTCTTTTTAAAAAAAATGCGAAGTTGAACAGAAAAAGTGCACACTTCAACTCATCATAAAACTTGTGCAAAAACAAAATTTCAAAAAGTGCTCCCATAGCACCATGGGGAATTATCCTCTGAACATACTGAATGAATTTCATTCAAAAATATTGAAAAATGGAGTGTCAGTTTGGAAGCAGCTGAACCCTTGTAAATGGCTTGAAACTCACTGCGTCGGAGCCGCCTTAATTAAAGTTTTTTATTTTTTCAGAAGCTGGCATGACGCAGAAAACCAATCGTATCGACGTGAAGCCATGATATGTATAGTTCTGTATATTTTATCAGGCCTCACTCATATAGGACTATTGTCTGGCCGCTATTGCAAACAAGTATTATATTACAATTATAATTATTACAATATTCTACCAGCATCACAGAAATAAATAATTTCCACGAATTATAACAAATTAGTGAGGGATAAATAATGAACTGTTTGTTATTTCAGGAAATATTCATATCCGATCATCTAACTATAAAATACAGATATATGGGCAAATATTTTCCACTACAGATTAAACATATTTCACCTATTCTGATTCGAAAAATCAAATTCTACTAATTCAAAAATTGAATAAACATAACACATTACGAAATCTATACTTCCCTTTGTTTCACATACTCGAGTTAAGCTCAATGATAACTCGAAAAATGGCGTCTAGTAGATTGACTCTGTAGGGGAAAGTGGTCTGAAATTGCATTGCAGTTGAGATGGTACAGTAGCTACTCTGTACCATATATGTTCGTAGTTTGAAGTCCAGTGGAGCAATCGATGGTGAGGGGCTGAGGGGAGATGCCAGACACAAACACGTCGCTACAAGTTCGTTGGCAGTGATTCATAACAGTACATGCGGACACTACACCCAATTTCACGAGTATCCATCACTGAACAATGACAACTAGTTATCTAGTAATATTTCAAAATTCCTAATATCGGCACAGGACACATAGTTAATTCCGAGGTATCGGTGAACTCCAGGTAGGTACACCCGTATTTTGTTGTACGCTATAGATTCATTTTTTATTTGCTAAATACTTTTTATCTAAAAAAGTTTCTTTGCGGATACGAAAGAAACGCTACAAGCACAATGGCTGCTGATGACCATGACTACATTTCAATTCAGGTAGGAATAAAATAAGGTAAGCAGTTTTTGACTATATTAATTATACTAAGTGACATATAAATCCGAACAGCCAGTTTAAATGGTTTTATTTTAATAAAAGTTGGTAAATGTATTTATCTTACTGTAAATAACAAGTGAAAAATTTTTCAGCCTTATCAGTTGGACATTCCGGTTTTTATACTGCGTTTTTTTAATTCACTAACGCTCTAAAAATGAATATTTCAGCCGCAGTAAAGAATCAACGTTGGCGGATTTTGGTTCTTGACATCCTTTACGATCAGTTACGATGCCTAGAGTACGGAGACCTATACGATTTCGTCAACTTAGTGAGTTTGATAGGGGCCGTATAGTGGGACTTCGGGAAGCTGGACTTTCTTTTCGGGCAATTGCAGTTAGAGTGCAAAGAAGTGTAGACACTGTGGTTAGGTGTTGTCAGGCATGGCTTCGAGAAGGCCGTACGCAAAGTGCAAGGGGCACTGGACGCCGCCGTAGAAAAACAGACCGTGAAGATCGCCGCCTAAGATTATTGGCCTTAAGTGACCGTTTCTAAACTACCAGGTCCATTGCAAATGAATGGTTTGCAGAACACGGAAGACCTATTGGCATACAAGTTTTTACCGATGAATGAGAAGTTTTGGCTTGTTTTCATACCGGCCACACTGGGTCCTCCCTTTAACTCGAGAACACCGACGTAATCGCCTTGAGTGGTGCAGACAACGGTCACTCTGGGATCAGGAATGGAACAGTATTGTCTTTAGTGACGAGTCTCGATTTTGTTTAGGCATGCACGATGGTCGTGCCAGGCTTAGAAGGTGACGTGGTGAAAGGAGGAATCCACAGTTTTTTGTTGAAAGACATGTTCATCACACTGTTGGAGTTATGGTTTGGGGTGCTATAGCTTATGGTTCCAGGTCACCTTTAATCTTCATCAGAGGTAACATGAACGCGCAGCGTTATATCCACGAAGTTCTAGAACCCCATCTTTTACCCTATCTTGACACCCTGGCAGATCCAACTTTCCAACAAGATAATGCCCGACCACATGTTGCAAGAGTCACAATAGACTTCTTTCAACATAATGATGTCACATTGTTACCATGGCCACCAATATCTCCCGACTTATCCACAATTGAGCACGTGTGGGATATGATGGGTAGGAGATTGCTCAGTTTGCAACGTTCTCCTCAGACTCTAGAAGCACTTCGAGAGGAGTTGGTGGTTGCCTGGAATGAGATAACACAGGAGGACATTGACCACCTGATCAGAAGTATACCTAGGCGCGTTGGAGAATGCGTAGCACATCAGGGTGCATCCACACATTATTAAAGGTCAAAGGGCTTTAAAGCCGTGCAACTATTTTGAAATTTTTATCATTTACTTATTATGCTTCGTTAAGTACTTATACAAAATTTTATTAAAATAAAACCATTTAAACTGGGTGTTCGGATTTATATGTCACTTAGTATATATCTACATTCTAGAACTTGGAACACCATATGATCTTAAAGGGCAATGAAACAGCCGTACATGGTGTTTAGAATGTGTGGCAGTATATGACCGAGTTGTTAGAGGTTCGCTTCCCCTAATTAGGTCTGAACATTACTCAGGTAATTCTAACAAGTAGTAAAATAGAAAAATGTAAGTAACTATTGCAGGAAGCCATGAAATGTACAGAACTGCGACAATGCAGTGTTCCTCAATACAGGCATGGGCCAACTGTTGAGAACTCTGCAAAAATCCGAAACGCAAACGTAGTTTATAATTTTTTCAAAGAGTTATGTGCTTTTTATGAATTACGTTACGTTGATGACGGAGAATAAACCAGAAACATGTGTCTATATTATTTTTACAGGTTAACTTACAGCTCCTGGAAAGGACTACGCAACCTGTTCTATTGACATATCATGTAATCAATAAATCCCAGATGTGCTATAATAATTTTCTAATATACTTTTCTGTTCCTGTACTTGTACATTTTATTATCATATTTCCCACCCACCTAAAAATATAATCCTGATTTGTGAACAACAGCTCTGAATACGGTCCCGAAATTCATTATTGCCAACAAATTATCACGAAGAGTCGCTTTTGTGATCAGTGACATTAGAAGTGTTACACCCAGAAAAAACTATTTCTTCAACTTGATTTTTTGGCAATGAGGTAGTCTTATATCAAGAATGAAATGATAACATTCTCACGAAATTTTATTGTCAAGAAGAGGAAAGTAGCCTAATATTGGACAGTTGCCTAATTTTGGATACCTACTGCATTATCTCAAAACCTATTGACAGTTTGCTGTAATTAAGTGCACAAAACTAAAATTTTTCAACATTAAACAATCCTGTGTAAGCCATATTATCTCAAAAAACGTGATTTTTGAGCTGTGTCACTTTTCTCGACAACTGACGATATAGTTCAGTCGTGCACTACTAGGTGGTACCATATAATTACATGTTTATCTGTGATGCAGAGTTTTTTGTATTGAAAGTATTTAATTGAAATTTGGCATGAACGTAATAGAATATTTTTAGAATGAGCCCATGTCTCTCGAAGCTTTGTTTTTTGTTTTAATCACATAACCTTGAACATGAATGTTGCCTAATTTTGGATAGGCAAAATGTCCTAAAACTGGATATCCAAAATTAGGAACCAAATTATATGAGTTTCAAAATATTTTTTCCTAAACATTTCTTTCAGTAAAATGCCTAGCAAAGGACTCCCACATAAAAAATGGTATCCAGAAAGCATGGAAAAAGCCGTAGAGGCAGTTAAAAGTAATGAAATGGGATATTTAAAGGCATCAAACTGCTTCAGTGGTCCAAAGTCAACTCTCGAACTATACGTCAAACGTGGCATATCCTTTGAAGAACAATGCACCCTTCGGATGGGTCGAAAGCCAGTTTTATCAACTGAAATGGAAGAAGACTTGGTACAGTACTGTTTGGAAATCGACAAAAGATATTATGGTCTAAGACTTGCAGAAATTCGCAGATCGACATACCAGCTTGCTACAAGAAATAACATTTCCCATCGCTTCTCAAATGAGACGTCACCTCAATCTGTATTTGAGAAAACCGCAGGGGATTTCAAAAAATAGAATATAATATCAACAGATTCTTTGATATCCTGGAACTAGCTATGGAGAAGATACATTTCAACCCACTGTCGGTTTAAAATCTGTACGAAACTGGCATCACCACAGTATAATCCAAGATTGCTAGAGTCATCACCCTGAAAGGAAAAAAACAAGTAGGAGCCGTAACCGTTTTCAAAAATAAGAAACTACAGAAAGTAGAAGACGAAAGTAAATCTTCTGACTCCTTAGAAGATGTTCCTTATGAAAACGACTCAGATATGGATGCCGATCAAGAAAAATGGAGAACACTGGATACAGTACTCAATTTGCTTCAGACAGTCACATGAAGACTGTGCTGGTAGTAACAAAAAAAAGCTTAGTGTATCCAATTTTGGGAACCTTTTTGTTTTATTTGAAAAGTGCTATTTTTACTTGTGCGTATTTTTTATGTCGGATATGGGTAAAACAAGAGTTTAAGAATGCATCACGTGCTTTTATTTAAATAATAGCACATTTTGGGCGCAAACAAATAATTAGAACAGTTGTTTTTCCTCTCAGAAAATTGAATTAAGGAAAAGTGTCCAAAATTAGGTCACTTTCCTCTAAAAACAAGTAATAATGTGATGGGCGACCACGCAGCTGAATACACTCCTGTATAAGTCTAGGCATCGACAAAATGAGATGATCGATGTCTGATTGTGGCACCTCATTTCAAGCAACTCGAACTTCGTGGATTAACTGTGGTAGTGTCTGTGGTGGATGGTGCAAAGTGGTGAACGGGGTGGTGGCCACGGCAAAACATTAACGCCTGCTTCTTGAAGAAAGTCCGTAGTACGACGAGCAATATGTAGGACATCATCAGCATAACGCGCAGCAGTCATATTGCCTAGAACAAAGAGGCTATCATAGGCAATAGCCCCCCAAGCCATTACTCCGACAGTCCTGTGTACATGCATCTCAACAGCAAATCCAATATCACGCCGTTCTACACGGCCGACCCTTCTACGACCATCGTGCGTACCTAGACAAAATCGTGATTCTTCGGCCTCCCATTGTTGCCGTTCTCTGCTCGACTTCAAACGTTGACGACAGTTGTCCGCAGTTAGAGGAAGCACTAACCGTGAACGGTATGAAAGAAGTCCAAATTCTCGAATGCGGAGATAGAGTGTACGCATAGTAACAGGTCTACCTTCTTCTCCAAACCATTGGTCAGCGATC